CTTTCTTCATTACATTTAATAATACAACAGAGCAGGTTTCATCAGAAACAAACATGATCATATAATATTATTTACTGCGTGATGAAAAGTATGACAGAGTTTTTATGAGTGAGAACAACAAACCAAAACGGGTAGCTGCAACTTTTGATTACACGTTCCTCTAACAAGACATTAAAAAAGGATATCTGTAACCCATCGTAAAATGTCACTCTGATCACTTAAATCCCACCATGGAAATCAAGGTAGTTCTCTTCAGGACCCCAGTCTCGGACAATTAGGTGAAACTGATCAGCTGAACCCATTGTCCTATTGCTCAACCAAAATGTTTTTTTGCACAAAAATGTTTCATCACGGCTTTGTTGGCAGGTCATCTTATTTCTTGACTTTGGCCTGGCTCTCAATTTAATTGTGTACTTTTTCTGATAAGAAAAAAACACGCTGATTCGGTCTGGAAGCAGCCTGAGCTTCTTTGCTCTGTTGTGGCAACCGGTCCGAGAGCCAAAGCGATTCTATTCATTCAAGTCCTTGTGGCGCTTCCAGCAATAGAAAAAAAAGATTCCATAGTTTACCTTGTTGTGGTTTTCCCAAGATGGAAACCCCCATCACTGCATCAGGTTTGGTTGCAGCTTTGGTTCCCTTTGTTTTAGACTGAGATGCAACTGCTATCACCCCAAAGCCAGTGGTCTCCTTATGTTGTAAACACGCCTCAAATGTCCAAAAACTTCATGAACACAAGACTCAAAATGTCCTCAAAAATGCTGCGCTGTGATTTAGATATTGCATTTCATGTTGGTTTCTGATAGTCTCCTTGAAACAGAATCTTAGGCGAGGCAACTCTCAGAAAAATCATGTCAACTTGATTCCAAAAGGGAACACAATTCCTTTGATGTTGGAGAAATGCTTCCACATCTTAAGAAAATAGATTAACCAAAGTCAATTTTGAGGGTTTTAAGATTTATGATTTTTAGAACACAGGGACATCCTAGCAACGTCTGGTTGTGTCTGAACAGAAATCCACAGGCTTTGCCAAAGGTAATGCAATCATGTTCGGCAAAAACCAAACTTCGGTCATGGAGTTTTTGTGTGGTTTGAAAAACTGAAGCAAAGAAACAACACAGACAACTCATCAATTGCTAAAGTTTATTTTTCCTTGAACTGATCCAGCAGATCTCCATTTCTGTAAAATACTATTTTTCCGCAGGAAAAAAGGCAAGAAGATTTGTGGGATTGAAAAAATTAAATTTAGGATTAAATGTGAGGGAGTTATTGTTTAATTATGGCTGCACCCCTGGTGCTGTTACTCTTAGTTATGACTTGTTTACTAAATGTACACAAAGTTGCAGTTCAAAGGTCAGAAAACACTATAATTCAATAAAGACATTTTCCCATGAGGTCCCTCTGGATTTTTTTTAATCTTTCAGAGCAGAGGAACAAAAAAATGTGATTCCAGTCAGTGGATTACGCTCTCTCATGCAGCTCTGACATGTGCTCTGCCGTTTCTCGGCTCACATGGGTTTATTTTTAGAAGTATATGCTAAAAAACGTCTGGAAGTAGAGCTCCTGCTGCTGGACTGTTGACTGTGCCTCCCATCATGCTTCATTTACTCTGTTGTAGTAGGGGTGTTGTGTGTCATGGATCAAGGGCCCATTTTTACAATGATACTAGAAACACCTGTTGTTTGAATGTCTGAGTTTTTGTAAGGACTTGAACCATGTCTGAAGCAGGCATGGTTTTTTTTCATGTGTGCTGAAGAGTCTCATCAAAGGCCCGGTTCAGGAATATCTTCATACATTATTCCCGTGTCCAAACGCTGTAAAATCTCTGACTTCTGTTGTCATTCCTTCTAACATAGCTGCAAAGTGATGACTCTTCGCAGCGCATTGTCATAGATTTTGGACAAAACTGCCCCCATACGCTGTCTGATAACAGCAATCTTCCGAAAATCTTTCCACTGTGGTGCCCAAAAATACTTGCAAGTAGAGACAGGTCGTCGACCCACATCTGCATCACTGTCATGTCTTTCAAAAACGAGCAAAAAAACAACAAAAAACAGGCCAGCAGAGTGCTCAGTGCCACAGATACTCATACAGTTTCACTTAATTCTCACAGTTTTTTTGCCTCCTGTCTGCCATATTATTCATGCTATAGGCTTTGAGGTGTGGACTGTTTCTTTACCAAACACCAGCGAATCCAGCTTTTTAGGCTTCAAGCCAACTTAATTTCACAGCAATAAATGACAAAGGGACAACTCTGTACAATTCACAAATCTACATGTCCATGGTGGGAGGGAGGAGAGGGGCACTGGTTGCTGAGCTGAATTGACACTTCTAGGATGTGTTTTAACTCTAATCAAATGTTTGGCTAAATCAGTGAACATAAATTGGTCCCCAGCAGAACAATAATAATCCCTAAATCCTTAAAAAAGGCTGGAACTCATTCCAATAAATGCCAAGGAGAAGTTTGAGGAGGAGAAATCACTCCAAGTTCAACGCTATAATTTCCTGATACCTTTGGAGCGTCTGGTAAATCTTAGTTGTGACACCTGTTGATGATGGAGGTTCCTGAATGGTTAATGTGGATCCGGCAACTACATTCAGTTTTATCAGAAGAGCAGAGAACTGCTTTACCAACAGGAGCGCAACAATTCTATTTTGCCAGCAGGCTAGAAGTATATGATTCATCCATTCACTCCCCAAGTAACGTTTATCATTTAATGTGCTAGCTCTTTTTTCACAGTGTTCAGGGACAGCTTCCTAAATGATTTCAAGATGGAAAACGTACGATTTGGTAGACAGCAGCTAGAGCAAGATATTGCCTTTTCTTTAGATTCTTTAGATGCTAGTTTATCTCGAGCACTTGTCAGAGAAAGTGATGGTTATTCATGCGACCAAAAACTCGTCCTATTTACAGCATGATAGTGTTAAAGATGGAAAGTCTTTATTTGTGAATGTAAGAGTGAACCCGCACTGATTAAGGCCACTCCTGCGCTACAAAACACAGAAAGTTTGTGGGATTCATTCTGGTTTTGTCCCACTGAGGAAGTGACACAGCTGCTGAGGTCAGCAGATACAGAGACCGAGGGAGAGAGCAGGTCGTCGTCATGGAGCCCAGCTAAACAGCGGGGTGATGTGGTTGAAGAGACGGTGTCACACCGATGAGACCTTCCAGGAGATATTGGCTCCTGCTGTACACACGCACACACACACAAACACACACACACACACACACGAATGGACAACGCACCTTTCAGTAATGAGACACAGTCGATGAATTCCCACCTGACAGCGGACAGCCAATGGTGCCCTCACTCCATCTAACTCCGGCTCTTTGTTGGGAGGATGCACAAATCACACCGCATGCTCACACACTGCTGACACTTCTGTCTCTGCTTCTCACTCTCCATTATTTTCATAATACCATTTATAATCATCTACATGACAATCTGTTTGGGGCTCTATAGTGCAGCTCAGGGGCAACAGGGGTTAGTGCTGAAGGGAAGCGGTGCATGCTGGGATTGCAGCCTGCTGAGAGAGTGGCATTCTGGGAGGCGGTGTCCTGCAGGCAGGGCCTCTGGGGGATGCAGTATGGTTAATAGGCCTTTCATGGCCGGCCCACAAAGGCTTTTGTCCCCAAACTAATTCATCCTGCCCAGCATGGAAAGATGGAGAGAGGGGGGGGAGGGACACCGTGGAGGGCTTTTTTTTCTAGTTTGGGGAGTCCCCTTTTTTTCTCCCCTAACCCCCTGTCTTTGCTCTGCAGTGTGATGCAAGGTGGCGCTAGTGTGAAGAAGCCACGCATAAACAGAGCCCTGCTCAGTAGCAACAATGCCAAAACATTGGCAGAGTCTGCAACCGGGGAAAACACCCAGGATTAATGACTCCCTGAAAGCGTTTTAGGGATTAAAATATGCATCTCAATCTTGTGAGCATGACACGAGGAGAGTCTGGGCATGGCTTTAATGTTTTTCAGTCATGTGAGACATGCTGAAAAATGCCCCACATTTGAAAGAGAGACACTGGGTGTTCACACACCTGAACAAGAGCAACAGGTGTCGTAAAATAGCACAGGAAATCTGTGAATGGAGCCCTGCCTGCTTGCAATAACCCCTCTGGTACATCCTAGTGGGAGTTCCCGCATTCACGGAGGCTTCCCACCACCGGCCCGCTCTATCAAACTCTGTGATCTGGGAATAGCCAGTTATTAATGAACTAGACAGAAGCGGCTCCCCTCGTTTCAAAGTGTGCTGATTGAAGTGAAGAAGAGAATTCCAGAGCGAGCAGAGGAGGGGGGGGGGCTCAAGCTGTGATCGTTGTGCTGTGAGAGCCTGTGTGAGAGTGCTGCGTGGTCCTGACAGGGCCCGGCCCGACCACAACAACACAACACTGCGCAGCACAGTACACAGCTCCGCTGGAGGGCCTGCAGGCCTCAATGGACGGGGGTCAATACAAACTCTGTGGGCACCAACGCATACCAAATCAGGGGAGCAGGGCAAGAGGCGGGGGGAGGGGGCGCACTTTCCACCGGTGGAGCACTAGTTTGGAAAAATAAAGTTTAAGGGGGTTTCTTTGAGGATAAACCTCTGCCTGTGACTGGAAAGCGCCGCTCCGGGTTTCGCATTTTACGCACAATATCTGGAAACCCCAAACGCACGGTCAGCACGGACCCAAACTAGGGAGAAAGGGCGCTGCAGTACCCGGCTCTAAGATTTTGGGAGCCAGTCCCTATTGTTCAGGTCCCTCCTCCTGCTTGGGAAGTGGGAGGACCCGAAAAGGCGTCGCAAAAGGGAGAATTGTTTGAGAGCGCAGTCATCCAAAAACGGCCTTTCAATGTGAGAACTTGGGGAGCCGAAGAAAATGTCGGTGGCATCGCAGTAAATTACTAAAGCAGCGAGGCTTCGGAGGGAAAAAGAGAAGCAAAAAAGAGTGTCGGCTTTTAAGGGACTACAGCTCAGAAGACGGGCGAGGAGACGGTCGTGTGAAGAGCGAGCACCAAGCAGAGTTTGAGTAAGTTTGATCCTTTCATGCGGTCCATGTTGTTGCGCTGCTTATGGACATGTATTACACAGTTGTACAAGTATGCATCAGCTTTTTGTGCCTGTTTGCTGCTTGTCGGAGCTCTTTTCCAGCCCACATTTAACTGCGATCGTGGTGAAAGATGTGATTTTGGAGACTTCCACACCTAACTGGTGCCGGTGAAAACTTTGACTACTTTAGCCACATTTGTTATGTTTTCCTTTCCCCCCACTATTTCACTTTTGCTTCCAGACCCAAGCAAACCTAGCCGTAAACCTTCCGCATCATCCACGGTCCTTGTTTGGGTCCAAGAGTGTGTTCTGGCTCTCGGTTGGAGAGTCTTGTTAGAAGAAGAGTTAACTTTGTTGTCGGACGGTAGCCTGTTGTTGATTGGACGAGCCGTATCTTCCTAACTTTTCCTTAATTCCCTACCTATGTGGACTGTTATGGCACAATACCTGTGGACGGTTGGGGGGGTTTCAGCCCCGCGTGACACGTCGCGGAGACAGTGGCTGTGTTTTGGACGGGTTTTGGGGTCTTTTGGTGGGTGAACGTGTGTGCGTCTTGCAGGCCTCAGCCTATAGTGGCTCCCATAGGGCAGGAGAGCACAGACATGAGGTCTGCAGCCAGTCACCCCCCCAATGTCACCGGGGGACATAGATGCTGGCTCGCAATAAGAAAAAAAAACTGCGCCGTGCTGTTCTAATGGACGATTCCACATTTCTGTCTGTTTTCTGACCGGGGGAACTTTGAATGGTGATGCTTCTAATGGACGTGCGACTCAAAGCTTGCGCCACCCCCCCTCCTACCCACCCACCCGTCAGAGAATGGGAGGTTATTTCCAGAGTTAGGGTCACCTTATCTCCTTTACAGTCCGGTTATTGCGCACAGAAGCCATCCGCGTACCCAAACAACGCTACCTGAGTGCACCCCCCATCCCCATGCCCCCCCAAACCCCGAATATCCCGGTGTCAGAACGGGCCTTTAAAGCTTCTGGTGGACTGACAGCTGACGGAGTGGCCTTACGGGAGCTTACGTGCTGTCAGCTCTGTCCCGATATCACCCCCCCCCCACACACACACACACAGACACAAACACACACCCTTATTCAGGTCTGATTTAATGAGAAAATGTTTGCCAGTCCCCGGGCTGCTATTGAGGGGGGGGGTGGGGGGGGGGGGCGGAGGAGGAGGAGGCCCGCAGGAACAGCCGCAGGGGCTCGAGTTTCCAACCCCAGGTGTCGTTTTGTGATCTGGCTTACATTTAGCCTCCGCTGCCTCGCTGCATGGAGGAGCCCCAGCGATTCATTGACAGACATGGCATCAGACAAGAGGGCCCGATTGTTCCCGCTGAATCAATGTCACTTGGATTAAAAGTCGAAACGAATGGCCTGGCCTCCTCCAATTAGGCGCACAGCCTATGAGCGAATTAATTGGTCTCAGCAGAAAAAGGAGCCTTGTTGTTTGCTTGCGGGGTTTGTTGTTTTTGCTGATCAACTTTGACAGGCGGGCGGATCAAAGTTGAACTAAATGATTCCAGTCTGATTATCTGCCTGTTTCTCACACTTCTTTGGCCCCTTTGATTACGCAGAGAGCAGAAAAACACAGTTCACCTTGGGCCTGGCCGGCCACGGGGAAACATCAGGGAACGTTGGAGTCATAAGTGTGATAATACTTTTTCCTCCCTCTGACCCCCTCACTTCAGCGATTTAAACCATTTTTAGGTAATAATATTACTGTATTTTAGTTGGAGCCTTGCATAAATATGGATTGGTTTGGATGATTTGAAATCGTACTGTTTTTAAAGTTTTCAAAACCTTCCTACTAATAAAACATAACACGATATTTAAGAATATTCATCCCCCCTATTGTTATAGTCAAATAATAGTTGCTGCCTACCAGAACAGATTTTAAGTTCAAATAGGAGCAGTACGATGTGCTTTCATTGAATTGGGGTCATAAAATGAGAGGCATGTTCAAATTGACCTTAAAAGTTGTTCAGCATTGAGACTTAGCAGAATATTTATGAACAGATAGCTAAATAGTGATAGAAAGCTGCACTATTTTCCTTGTAGTTTAATCTAATTGATTTTGGTTACCTGCCAAACAGGCGGGAATCAACATTTTTCCACTAATTCACCACTGGCTCTTTAATAAGTTTTGAATTATCCTATATGGACATCATTTTTACATGTAGTGTAGCATAGGAATAGAATTGAATGTGTTTCTTTCCCTTCAGGCCTACAGCCAGTAGAAACGGAGCTCTTCACACATATCTGGGTGTTGTTTCAAACTGGCTTTGCCGTACGGCTCTGTGATGTCAGACAAAAGTGGAAGGGGAGGATTTAAGCTGTCTGACTTTGGTCTGGTGTGTTTTGCTCCTATTTACCTTGGTTTTAAGATTCATTTCAAGGCCACAAACAGTCCGCAGATCCCTAAAGTCTGCTGTTACAGCTTCTGTCTTGTGTTTGCAAGCCAGCAGTTCAAGCTGTGGTGCGCAAAATCCATATTGTTATTGTAGTGGGTGTAACATTGCTGTTAATTGACAAAGGAGGGGGAAAAAATCTTTCCTGAGGGCATGCTTTCATCTCTCTGACAGGCAGTACACTTGTGCAGTCATAACAGCCTGCAGGCTGGATCTGTGGGCCTTTGCTACATGTGAGTGTGTGTTGTCCATCTCGTCACGCTGGAATGTATCACTTGTAATTTCGGTCCACATCCGGCCTCACCTGCCCGCTCATTTTGAGAGTAGTGCATTAAATAGTTAGTCAGTTTATGATTTCAGCTGAAGTTTTTAATTTTTTCCCCCCCTTTTTTAATTTAATGTGTTTCATAGACCAACAAGAAACGCTCCAAATAAGGTAGCTTCATTTTCCATGTCCATTATTGGCCTGCTGACGCACAATGCATTAGCCCTCCGGCGCTGACAGATTGCAGGCTTGGGCTCAGACCCCGGTGCCCCCAGGAGAGATTCTGTGTCCAGTCAGACACCGGATAACCAAAGAGGGACACCTGGGCTGGCAGGTGGCCGGGGTCCAGGCCCCCTCCCCGGGGGCTGCATACCTCTCCTCTCCTGATCCTCCCCGCCAGCCCAGAGCACGGAGAGGGAGACGGAGGAATGTGATGTTAAGAAAAAACAAGAGGGTAATATGGAAAGAGAAAGTTGTAACAGAGTTTCAGAAACCAATTTAACAGGATCAGATAAAAGAGATTATCAAATGGGAAATGAGAATAGGTTTAGTGTAAGGAAAGAGACGACAGAAGGGTGATAGTTATGTGTTTTGTTCCTTTCAGACAACACTTGCAAACTATTTGTGATGATTAAATACATATTATTATTAAAACCACCTTTAAGAACATTGTTTTAAAAGATTAATTGGGATTAACCAAAGCCTTTAAACCAGTTTAGTTGATTTGTTCCACTACTTAAAGTAAAACTTAAGAGGCTCTTGATTGGATAATGAAGTTAGCCCAGCCGTACTCGCATGGAAGAGACACACGCTGTGAGGGCTGTGTGAGCATTACTGGATCATTGATCAACTCCAGACTCGTGTGAGAAAGCTACGTGTGTGTGTGGACAAATAGTCCTGTGTGTGCAAAGCAGATATTTGGACAAAGATTAGGGGGTGTTATTACGAGCCAAAAGCAACCCAGACGCTCTAACAGATCATTCTCACGGGCTCAAGATTGCGCTCTGACTGGGACTCTTCGGTTAAACCTTCCCTTTTTTCCTTTCCCTTTTTCAAACTATCTATCTTACCCACTTGTGAAAATGTGTCTTATTTTGGCTTGTTTTTATGTCTGACTGCAAACTGTCCCGCTGGATTATTAACTGCACATTGTATTCATTTCTCTGGCATGTGAGAGAGAAACAATAAAAGCAGCAAAAAGACATGTCAGGGAATCTGGATTGTGTTCCGGGGCTTTAACCAGTAATCAGATTTATTGTGTTTCACCAGAGAGAGAAAACTCATCATTGAAGAATGTCAAACTGGCAGGAGAAGACATGATTCAACAGAATAAATCACTGGGCACCAGATTAGTTAGTTATTGGGCCCCTGAGGTTATCAGAGCTGGAATTTTCCATCGACAGAGCGCCTCTGTCTGCCGTCCAAGTCCTATCTGCGGGAAGTTTTATTTTATGATGTTTCGGAGCGGGATCGTGCACAACTGTGGCTCTGAGTGACAGGACAAGTGGCTGCTCTGCAGCGTGTCACAAAGCCAGCTCCTGAAACTGAAGGCCCTCTTTGAAACAAGCCTGCTCAAGCTGTTTCCCCTCTTAAGACACGGTTAGAAATCCAGCTGCTTTCGCTGTACAGCCAGCAGTCCAACCCGGATGAGGACGGCTAACACCCATGGCCTCATTTTCAGTTCAATTTCCTGCCTCTACTTTACTTTCTAATCCTGCCTCATATCTGTTTTTGCTATACCTCTCTCCTTCGGCTGTTCCATATAACTTTACAGCCCCCCCCCTCCATTCCCTCATCTCTCTTTCCGTCCCCCCTCTGCCTTATCTCTCTCTGTCCTTGTTTGTTCGCATATCTGTTTTTCATATATTTTTTTACTGCTTTCTCTGCATTTTTCCTCCTTCCTTCATCACCCGCTGAGAGTTGTAGGGCCAAGCAGTCTCTCGCTCGACTTTTTATTTTCTTTTTTCTTGGGGTTCCTGCTGAATAATGGGGAGAAATTGCTCTTGATTTATAATTGGTTCCATTCACGCTGATGCATGAGCTGCCAAAAGAGTCGGGGGCCCCTTTAACCCTCCCCACATCCCTCCTCCCTGCCTCATCCCCTCCCTTCTCGTGATGCTGGAACACACAAGGAGTAGGCTGCGTATACAGTGTGCTCAGCTATGAAAGTCTATATTAGCATGCACGAATGCTGTGGTGTGCACGTGGGGTATTTTATCTCTCGGGCCGGGGATGAGCGGTAGCCTGTTTTTTAGCCTGTTGACATTTGGCTTTGGGAAAACTTCCTGAGGTTTGCATATTC